TGTATCTACGAACATGTATAACCAAATAGGTTGGTTGAAACCCAATACCATGTGTGTGCCTGATTGTTGTTCTGTGTTCTTCTCTGTAAAACGGTACGAATTTCACATTAACAATCCTTAAAAAAAAGCATCCTAACCTCCATTCTACCGCTCCATTATGCAAGTTTTTTGCCTGCGACAGACACACACCGATGTTCCTCCTTACCACGTGTAAACGTCCAATCACTCTCAGTGGACTGTACCCACTGGGGTGGGCTTTCAAGTTTTCCCACATCACACTGTAAAGTTCGGCATTCTGGCGCCAGCGAGCTGAACTTCATCTCCTAAACACCTGATTCTGGGTGCGGGGGGGACTTTAAATATATTTATGAACATGTCCCAATCTTAAGATGCTTAAGGGGGGGAAAACATCAAAACCAGTTTGTCATGCGACCGATAACCCTTCATCTACAGTGCACTGAAAAAATTCCTCCCAGGTTTTAAAAAGATGACAACCCAAGAATGTAGTCAAGAGTAAGACTTAAGTTGCAACAGCACCTTGTTGAGCCAATGGTTTCAGACTGGAGTCCAGATGTGGCAATAAATCAGACATGGCAGTTCTAAACTCCTCCACACCCTGAGACACCATTTTAAACCATAGCTAAGGGTGATACTGAGCATGATGGAATCCTGTATTTCATCTTCACTCCCACCACAGGGCCAGTGGGAACTGACCAATGTTTGACCGTATTACAGCATGCAAGTGGGGTCCATTCATCGAATGATTTCCACCCCTGCTGTTCAGCCCAAGCTTGGTATCATTACTCTGTACTGCTTATGCGAGGCATTAACAGAAAAAAGTGACATTCTTTTTACAAAGAAATGTCCAGCTCCCTTTGTTCTTTTCTTACTTAATACCTGCTACACACCCAGACCCCATGCCAAGTGCCGCACAAATGGTTCCTGTAGGTAACCACGGACCAAAATTCACAACTAAATGGGTCCTATGTGTACACTAGCCTGGTACGACACACGCCAACCACCACCTTAAACCGGCATACTAGGATTAGGAATATATGTTTTTTGTTTTCCCAGTGATGGCCGCCCTCGTTAGCGCGCAGACGGGCGAGGCCTGGGTTCAGAAGTGCGCCGAGCTCCAAGGAAACTAATCAATTTTGTAGCTTTTAGTGTGTTCTTTAGCCTGTGCTCTCTTTTTCCAAATTTAATTGTTTACTTACTTCTACTTACCTCTTTGTCTCACTATCGCTCGAAAATACTTTTTTGCCGTTTTTTTCTTTGACGCCATGGTTTTATTGTTTCTGTTTGCAGCTGGTCTCGCCATGGCGAGCGGGGAGTTCGCAGTGTGTAGGCAAAGGACGCCAACAGACTGAACAAACTCATTAAGAAGGCCGAGTCTGTTGTTGGCTTGAAGCTTGTCACCCTGGAGGAGGTGGTGGAGGAGAGGATGCTGGCAAAACTCTCTCCCACCCCCTCTACACAACACTGGACAAGCAGCTTAAGCAACAGACTTAGACAACCCCGCTGCAAGAAGGAACGATACAGGAGATCGTTCCTTCCAAGTGCAATAAGACTTTTTAATAATAATTGACTCTTAACTCAGCTGCTATGACATTATAATTTCCCTTGGGGGATAAATAAAGTATTTTTTATTCTATTCTATTCATCCTCCCTTTCCAAGTGCAAGGGAGAAACTTCTCACATGATTACACTAATGAAAACATACCTGTGGATATTATATTCCATGTCTGCCAAAAGATCCTTTTAAATGTTACACACTGCACCTTTAAAAACCACGTATTGACATAAACATAATCCCTCACAAACGTCACTTGTGACCCACTAGAAGTGTGGGTGTCTGTATCTATAACAAAATGTATTAAAATAAAACAAATCGTATGGGAAGGGTGCAGTTATCATCTCCTCACCGATGCGAGCAATGGGCACTCCCGCTTGTAGAATCTGAACTGTGCTATCCACAGCAGCCTGGACGGAGGGGAAAGAGCAGACGGCTGACACCATGGCCTCTGGGATGCCGTACAGGCGCAATGTAGTTTTGGTGATGATCCCCAGGGTACCCTCTGACCCCACAAACAGGTTTGTCAGGTTGTAGCCTGCTGATGTCTTCCTAAAGATTGATAGAGAGAAAATTAAGGTCAGAGAGTTTAGGCTGTGCTAGGGCAATGTTGCACATTTGTGGGTGCAAGTGGCTAATGTGTACCTGGGGCGTCGGCCCTTCCCAGCCGTGTGTATGATTGTCCCGTCAGCCAGAACCACCTCCAGATTTAGAACGTTTTCCCTCATCGTTCCGTAACGCACTGCATTGGTACCAGAGGCACTGGTGGCGGCCATGCCACAAAGAGACGCATCAGCACCAGGATCTGAGACAATGAAAACACATTATGAGTGACTTCAGAATGATAAATCTATTGATTAATTTTACAATATACAGAAAATGGACAGAAAACGTAAATCTACTTTAATCCTGTTACACCCACAGTTGTGTGGTCCTATGGGCAGCGCTTGACCTGATTGTTTAGCACACATCCTCCAAAATGGAAAACATTCATCTAGTTAAAATACTTTTTATGTGACTGACCAACAGGGAAATAGAAAAGTGAAAGATAACCATATGCTGGATTAATGCTGCTAGCATTAATGAAGGCTGACCAGGCCAGCCGAGACACAGCCACACACACATGCACACACAAACACACACACACACACAAGCCAGAGTCACCAAGGGCAATGCTGAAAACACTGCATGTCACAACCAGGACATGAGGGAGTGCACAGGGTAGAGATAATTTACCCTTCCTAAGCCGCACCCCTGTTGACCCACCCAGTTGAGCAAACCTCAGTCAGAAATGGTTGGTCAACTTCCTACTTTCCTATACTTAGACATGCTATGGGCTAGTCTATGTTGAAAAGACAATCACATTTTAAAGATGGTTGCAAGAGAGTAAGTTAGCTATCTAATGTTTGTAGGGTCAAAGGGGACATTCAAACACAAACTTGTTCTCGTGGTTCAACTAGACTTTTATTGTAATGTGTCACTTCCTGTCACCTCATCCGGCCGCTTCCTGTGACTCTAACCCGATACACACACACCTTTTTCTTTAGCTTAGTTCCTTTAAGTAAGATTGTACATTGTGTTTTTTTTTGTATCTGTTTTGCCTTTATTCTACTTATTTCTCTTTTTAAAAAATGCTTGTTTACTATACATGCTGGCCAACTTAATTTAGCTTTTTTTTTTTTTTTCGTGGGTGATACCAGTCTCTTCTATGCAGAATTCCACATCCTTCCATTTAAACTATTAATAGTGATTTTGGTCATAGTTATTAATTTAATTATTAATCCAATTTCTAAATGATCATTATTTTCTTATTCAGTTGCTAAGAGCTGTTAACTTTATGTTTTCAAATTGACCTGGCAAGCTAACCTCTAAACCCCCTCAGCACTGTCAAGGTGAACTTGTTTGGTAAAAACTTGGATTTACTTCACCCCTCTGTGCCAATCCACTAACTGCACCGATCATATTGGAATGAATAGATTTTTCCCTGAGGTTTTGTTACTTTAAACACTGATGTGACCAGTCCTTGACTGAGCAAGAAACAGTGTAACTGACCAACAGGAAACCATAGGCCGGTGTCTCGCAGGTAGGCGTTGAGGGCCTTCCGAGTCACACCAGGCTCCACCGTCACGTCAAAGTCCTCCTGGTGGAGATCCAGAACCTGGTCCATGTTCCTCAGGCTGAAGCACACACCACCCTAAGGGCATGAGAAAGAAACATGTAGACATACAGTACATGCACCCACACACACAAAAAGAACCATACCTTTATTACTTTGTATTTTTCAATGGCTGGCGATGATATGAAATTTCCCATTGTACATTTTCATGTCCTTCTGCAGGTGTTTTGCAATTTGTGTATTTCCATTTATTTACTTAAAGTGTCTATTATTGATACGTATATAATAAGAATGTATCAAATGACATGAAAACAATTTAACAGTGTCAGTGGGAGTTCTTTTATGAACCTACAAAGAATGATCAACTCCCGGTTTTACATGGCTTTATAGTGGCTATTAGCTCATTGTCTAGTAGCAATATTATGATTTTCTCTAAACACTCACATAACATAATTTAAGTAAGTTTTCCAAGAAAAAACTCTACTGTACCCACTGTTCTCCACTTGCTCAGTAAATTATATGGCTGAAGCCCCTGAATTACTTTAACTCGTCTCTCTTTAAAGCTAAAACCACAAGTACACATAATACAGTATAATATACTCTCTCACCTCCACAGCACCGACCCCTCCCTCCAGGCCAGTTCCAGTGCCAAAGGGGATGATGGGAAGGCGGTGGTTGTGGCAGACCTTAGCCAGGGCGCTGACCTCCTCCACACAATGAGGAAACACCACCACATCTGGGGGACAGCATCTGAACAGCAGCAATGCAACACTCTCACTTACTGCTCTCCATGCTTCTCCACTAAATGGCACATTTTGTTATCACCCCTTGTAGAATTTAGTAATTTACAGAGGAATCATTAAAGGTGAGATGAAGTCATTTTAATTGCATCCGCTGTCATTTTATACACATATTTAGCAATGTAGGCCAAAGCAATTACAAAAATGAAATATTTGTTTGAATGTTTATATTAAATCAAACCATGTGACCAATCATGGAAGCTCCAATACCACCACGTCTGTCATGAGACAGACCTATGATCTTCCGTTGCACGGGCCTGCCTGTCCCCTTTTATAAACACCACTGGGGCCCTACACAGCCTTACCAAGCGTACTTCTTCAAAGTACCCCATCCATGCAAGCAGGGCAGTGTGGCAGGTATCTCACTATGGGAGATGTAGCCCACTCCCGAATTGCATGCTCCAAACCCCATAACACCACCACAAGCCCTCGCCATGGGCTAGCACATAGTTAACATGAACCCACGCTCAGGACTGAGTGTGACAGTAAAGACACATCTAGGCAATAAAACCAAATGAATGTGTGTAGAGATGCCCAACTAGCAGCAGCACAAGTGTCACCCGCAGAAATGCCCCTGAATAGGGCCCATGAGTTGGCCATTCCTATGGTGGAATGAGCCCACAGGTTCTCAGGGGGCTGCAGTCTATGACTCTCATAAATCAGGATTATAGCCTCCACCACCCAGTGTGACAGGCGCTGACAAGTCAGAGCCTTTCCTCAGTGAGGAGGGGCCCAAGATACAAAAAGCTGGTTACTTTTCCTAAATCTTAGGACCTTAGTCCTGTCCAAATAGATGCCCAAGGATCTTACAGGACAAAGTGAATTAAGCCGCCTCTCACTCTCCTCTGCAAAAGGTGGTGGGTGAAAGGCAAGCAGTTCCAGTGTGGGGTAGCTATAAGCAGACTCACTAACCTTTCAGCACTTTCCAATAGTCAGGGAAAAATTGCAAACAGGATGTGTCTACAGACAATGCATGTAATTCACTTATCTGTTTGGCTCGAAACGCAGCCCTGAGAGTGCCACCAACACAGCTGTCCCATGAAAGGTTCACAAGCTGGCCGTAGCCAACAAGCTCCCTTCATAAACCTCCTTATCAGAGAATGCTGTCCAATCGGTGCATTCCCAAAACCCACATACACCGAATAAACTTTAATGGGGGAAACAGCTTTACAATTGTCCAGTAAATCCTGCAGGAAGCATAACACATTCGTCTTATGAGTCCCTCTCCTCTCTCTTGTCATCGGGCAATGTGGGGGAGTCAATAGCCAACCTAGCCATCGTCCATTTAGACACCTTCTCATGAGGAGAAGAGAAAGGCTGTGCTATTGGCTCATGCAACAAGTCCCTCCCTAGCTGCCTGTTTTATACAGGAAATACGGGAATGTGCGGCAAACAGCACACAGATTTCTATTTCACCTGGACTTTAATCTCCAGGCAACCAACACAACTGGTGCCATCAATGTGAGGAAAGGTCTGTGTGCATGTATTTTTCTATGAACAATGGATGAAATTATCATGTGTAAAATTACCCGCTGTACACTTGCTCAGTGCCAAACAGCAGACAGACAAAGCTAACAAATAGCTGGTGAATATAGTGGAACATTTAGCAGGTAAAGCTGGATGTTTTTTAAAAAGAGCTAAAAGAAAGAGAACACTGGATTTGGAGCTGCCAATATGCTAATTTTTGTGTACTATTACAATGCAGTATGTCTGTGTGACCTACCTGTGTACAGACTCATCTTTGCCATGTTGCTCTCTGACAGCTTCACCCAATGACACGCTGTCCTCACCACATATAGACCTGAACGCAGAGAGCACGCTGTCCAAAGCAGCACTCTGTACAGACACACAGACAAAAGATTACACACAGTGAAAAGGAGTGAGACATCAGAAGAGAGTCTGGCAGACAACTACTGCCATAATAATCATACAACCAGTAGGTGAGTGACACTTTAAATGCTCCATCATCATCATGCATTGGCTGGGAATCGAACCCGGGCCTGCATCAGATTGTCAGTTTGAAACATGGCCTCCGCCCGTTCCTTGTAGTGTCCTTTGAACTGGGCCATCTCTCTCTTTAAAACTGTTTGAGCAACTCTCCCCATTGGGTTGTTGTTTGGGGTAGCACTTAACGGTCTGTGGGTATTGGTACATTGTGGCGCCCCCTGGGGTCAC